CACTGCTCCATCAGGGCTCCTTCCATAAAGATTACATCTAAGACAGCCCTATGGGGCAATTTTATTCTGTAATACACAGGGCCTCCTGAGTCACAAATCAACAACAAAAACAAAATCAACAACAAATTACAGGTTGGCAGATTCAGCAGATTCTCACCTGTCAGTCTGTCACAAAAAAATGTTTCAAGATCTATTCTGAAGTACAATGCTGTCAGTGATAGGATAATACCATATGCCTACAAGGAGCAGGGTGGGGGCGACCAGGAAATGAACAGAGCAGTTTGGAACAATGAAGGGAGACACACTTGTCTGTCAGTTTGTCGTCCTGTGGTGGCTTGAGTGTTGCTGTGAGGCTGGACGCTATGCCAGCGGTGTTACAGATGCCAGCAGGGTCACCCATGGTGGACGGGTTTCAGCAGAGCTTCCAGACTAAGACAGACTTGGAAGAGGGAAGAGGCCATCTACTTCTCAAAGAACTGGCCAGTGAAAACCTTATGAATAGCAGTGAAATACTGTCTGATATCTTACTGGAAAACTTTATGAATAGTATGATATCGTGCTGGAAGATGAGGCCTTCAGGTCAGAAGGCATCAAAATAGCACCAGAGAAGAGCTGCCTCCTCAGAGTTGGATCCGACCTCAATGATGTGGGTGGATAAAGCTTTCAGGACCCCCATCTGCCGATGTGGCACATCTCAGGATGAGAAGAAATAGCAGCAAACATCCATTAACAATTGGAACATGGGATGTATGAAGTATGAATCCAGGAAAACTGGACGTTGTCAAAAATGAAATGGAACACAGAAAGATCGATATTCTAGGCATTAGTAAGCTGAAATGGACTGATTTGGGCCGTTTTAAATCAGACAACCGTATGACCTACTATGCCGGGAATGACAAATTGAAGAACAATGGTGTGGCGTTGATCATCATAAAGAATGTATCAAGATCTATCCTGAAGTACAATGCTGTCAGTGATAGGATATTATCCATACACCTATGAGGCAGACCAGTTAACACTACTATTATTCAAATTTACACACCAATCACCAAAGCCAAAGATGAGGAAATTGAAGATTTTTACCAACTTTTGCAGTCTGAAATTGACCGAACGTGCAGTCAAGATGTGTTAATTATCACTGGTGATTGGAAAGCAAAAGTTGGAAACAAAGAATCACCAGTAGTTGGAAAGTGTGGCCTGGGTGATAGAAATGATGCTGGAGATCACATGATAGAATTTTGCAAGACCAACCACTTATTCATTGCAAATACCTTTTTCAACAACACGGATGATGGCTATATACATAGACTTTGCCAGACGGGGTACACAGGAATCAGATTGAATACAGCTGTGGCAAGAGGCAATGGAGAAGCTCAATATCTTCAGCCAAAACAAGGCCAGGTGCTGACTGTTGAACAGACCATCAACTGCTCATATGCAAGTTCAAGTTGAAGCTGAAGACAATTAAAACAAGTTCACAAGAGTCAAAATATGATCTTGAATATATCCCTCCTGGATTTAGAGACCATCTAAAGAACAGATTTGATGCATTGAACACCAATGACTGAAAACCAGAAGAACTGTGGGATGACATCAAGAAC